CGGCCCTGGCAAAGCCTTCCAGGAACCCAGGGACGCAGTGTGCTGGCACTGTCCCCATACCCCTCCCGCAGCCAGGGCCTTGGCACCGAGCTGAGTGCTGAGCAGGGGGAGCCTGGCTGTGGGGGATCAAGAGAAACATACAGAGGAAGAGCAAGTGCCGGTACTGCATCACAAGAACCAGCCTGCCAGGATGGGGTTGGGCAGGGGATGCCCCACATACCACCTGGTCCTTGCCAGGGGGAGAAAGGGAAACTGAGGCACAGGGGGGTCAGTCAAAGCCAAATGCCAGACAAGACAGGGGCTGCCACCCACCAATCAAGCCAAAGATGCCGAGAATGGAAGGGGCAAAAATGACCAGGAGGTTGATGAAGGTCAACAGGACCACAGCAATGATGATGTGGCGGATCCAGCTGAAGTCTTTCCCTTGAAACAGCATCTGCTGGATGGCCCGGCGCACCTGGGGATGGGGACAGGGTGTCACACTTCATCCTTGGAGCCAGGACCCATTCCCTGTCACTGCAGACCTACCAGTCCCCATTACCCCTTCCCCTGCCCCAGCCCTGTCCCTGACACCCTGTATGTCCTGTTCTCCAATCCCTGAACCCATCACTGCCTCAGTTTCCCCTCTCAAAGCCTGGTGCCAAAGCCCCATGTCAGCCCTGCAGGCCCACTCACCGGGAAGAGGACAATGGGGACAGTGAGTGTGACAGCTGTTAGCACAGCCACCCGCACACACAGGATAAGCACATCAAAGGGGTCCACCTTGTTGTACGTGTGCAGCAGCTCTGACTCCACGCGACCTGTGGACACCATTGGGGAGTCACTGGGTGAGCCCTGGCACCACCACCCCCCGGCACAGGTGTGCTGCCAGGGCACCCAGTCCCCTCCCCCAGGGCTCACCATAAAATGTGAGGTAGCCAAAGAGGGCAGCCAAGAAGTACATGAGGTACATGACCATGATGGAGATGTTGGAGATGCACTGCATCTTCTTCTTGGAGGGGCTGCAGGAGATGGCAGGCTCAGCACAGTCCCATGGCATCCGCTGACACTGAGCACCCCCCCAGCAAGGAGGGGTAATGCCACCCTGGGGTGCACGGGGGCTGTGCAGAGAGGGGCTATGTCCCACTTCCTGGGCTGCATGGTGGGTCACATCATCCACCACCAACCAACCAAACACCCACCCACCCTGGGCCATAACACCCACCTCCCAGGGGTCATACAACCCATCACCCATCCCGAGTTGCATCATCCAACCACCAGGGGTGATATCACCAACCACCCATTCACCCTGGGTCACACCACCCATGCTGGGGCATGGAACCCACCTCCTGGAGTGACACTGCCCACTCTGGTTTATATCCTCAGTCTCCTAGGGGTGATATCACCCACCACACACTCATCTGCCCCAGGTTATATCACCTCCTGAGCCTGATATCACCCATCCCAGGTCCTACCACCCACCCACCAGCCACCCACCCACCCAGGGTCATATCACCCACCTCCCCATGATGCCCCGGTGCAGGTCCCACACATGGACGGCACTGCCTTTGGGTGGGCGCCAGACGAAGCCCACCCCTCCCCGTTGGGTGCCCCCACCCAGGACTCACTCCTTCAGCTCGGTGTAGATGGGCAGGACCTCGGGGTGGCAGACAAAGGCGAAGGCCATGATGGGGATGGTGTACGCCGTCTGCATGAGAGGAGGGCAACTGACTGCTGGGGGCCAAGAGGTGGGTGTTGCCAGCACCAGGACCACTCAGCTTCACGGGGTGCACAGGGTGGGGGCTCACCCAGAGCCTCAGAGGCTGCATCCCAGGTCCTCACCTGTGAGTTCAGGGTGAAGAAACTGGGGCTGCAGGTGTCCTGCTCAGGGGCCTGGAGGACAGTGTAGCCATTCTGGTAGTCACTAGTGGTGACCGAAGTCACATTGAGGATGTCCGTGAGGTTTCCCTCCTGCTCTGGGAGTGGGCATGGGATCTGGAACTTCTTGTAGATGACCTGGGGGCAGGAGGGACATAGGGATGGTCAGCTCTTGGTGCCACGCCACCCAGCACCCACTGCCCAAGCCAGCACCATGCCTGGCAGGAGAGTGCCTCTGCCAGGACCCATCTATGGGGCACCTTATGCTGGCGCTGCCCTGTGGCAATCTACGCCCCCGGCCTGCCCCGGCGAGGGTGGGCAGCAAGGCAGAGTGAGGCAGCAGCACGTGGAGGGGCCACATGTGCAGTTGTCCCCCCCGGCACCCTCTCCCTCTCCCTTTCCATAACACTCGGTTCCTTCAGCCGAAAATAACGCAGCAGCTTGACAGCACCGCCACGGCGTCTCCGCAGCCCCGAGCGCTCACTGTCCCTGCTGTCCCCACAGCATACAGCCCAGCCACACGCCCCAGCAGGAGGGATGCTTGGCACCCCAAGGCACCAGCACGTGCTGGTGGGTGCTCACCGAGATGAGGAAGAAGACCATACAGCTGAGGGAGAAGCCGCTGGCATAGCCAAGGTAGCCTGGGGAGGGAGAA